GGCGGGGGCGGGGGCGGGGGCCTTGCCTTTGCCCCTGCTCTTGGGCCAGCGTGGCTTTCGCGACATCCGGTGGTGTTGCAGGAGAGCCGCAGTACGCAGTCCCAGGGCGCGTGGGCTCCTGTCCACGGCCTTTCCTGGGAGGGACTTGGACGGCTCCGTGTCTGCAGCTGCGGGCCTGGCCGCTCCAGAATCGGGTCTGAGAGCCCTCGAGCGCCCTCCCCTCGAGCGCCGCTAACCTGTCTTCTTTCTCGTCACCAGGGCTCGGGCCTGGGCTCGGCAGTCCCAGGCAGCTCCGGCGTGGGAACCCCCAGACAGTTCACACGACAAAGAATCACGCGGGTCAACCTCAGGGACCTCATATTTTGTTTAGAAAATGAGCGTGAGACAAGCCATTCACTGTTGCTCTACAAAGCATTCCTCAAGTGACCACGGTGTTTGTGACGGACGCCTGGGGACGTTTTTATATATTTGCAGACGACGCCTTTTTGTAATGAGCAAATGGGATATTGTTTAAAAATAGCCACCTCTTTACAACGGGACAGTTTTATAGCCTCCTGTTTCTAATGAGCTCTTCAGTGTGGGGAGTAATCCGCAGCAGCGAGAACACACAGGCCTGTGGGTACTCTGAACGGACCCCTGATCTCAGCTCACCCTTGATCGAGTGGCCTTCTTGCCAAACAAGCCATATTGAAGCCCGAGGGGTCGGTAGCAGGTAGTCAGCTACCCGCGCTTCCGCGCTCTCCGTGCGTCTCGGTCTCGTCCTCCGACTTCCTCCGTAGGGGAGTCTACAGCCGATGACCTCGTTTCCTTTATTTTAGTTTTTTAACAGTCGGTTGGCAAAGCGAACTGACTTTTTAGACTATTTATGTCCCTGCCCGCCCACCCAGCACGTGGAGGACCGCGCCCTGGCCGGCGCCGGGAGCGCGTTCTGCTCGGTCGGGCCGAGAGCGGGAGGCGCCTCCGGGTGCGGTCGGCGTCTGGACACGCGTTCTATTTGCTATCGTTTGTAAAGCTGTAAAGTGGAAAGAGATGGGACCTTCTCAGCATAAATATATTTTACTTGCACTGTGTTTTTAGCGGAAAGTGAAAACTTAGATGAAATAAAATCAGAGTTGAGAAGAGTCGTCAGAAGACTGTTTCTCTGTGAATCAAGTGTTGCGAACGGTCGGTGTATTTTGTCAGTAATTGTACATAATTTTTGGCACATAACATACAGATGGCTATGTAAACTATAATTATTTTGCTAAGAGACTGTATGCAAGCTCGGGGCCAGCTTTACAGACGCCCAGAGCAAAGCCCTTCTTTGTACCTATTTTTTTATTACAAATATACTAATTGGTTCTTTATATTTTCAGAGGTTATTGTATTAAATTGTCTATTGATAGTACTTTTATGACTGTAAATACGTTGGCTTTCTCCGTGTGAATTCTCACATTAGACTAATCCGCGCGTGTGAGCTGAACGCTGATCAGTATTTTTATCGACACCTGAGAACTGTTACACCTTTTATTTTGTCTTTTAGGGATCCCTGTCTTTCCATTTTTTCATGTAAATTTTGCACAGTTACTTGTTCATATGTAAATATTTTACTTTCAAAAATGAAGTTTTTAATTGCTATTGTTTTATATAGGATTGAAAGAAAATTAACTCCTTTATTAAAAACAAATTTATCTGTATCTGTTCTGCGCGTTTTTCTGCAGTGTTCCAGTTTTAGGTTCTGCTGTAGAGACAGCCCGGTTCTGCCGAGGTGTCGGTCCCCAGCTTTGCGCTCGCATCTGTAGCTGAAACCCAGCAGACCTGGTAGGAGTAACTGGCTCCACGGCCGGGGCTTCCAGGCTGAGTGGCCTTGCTCACCGAGGCCGGGGCCTGAGGCCCAGCCGCTGCCTGTCTTTCAAGCCAGCCCGCCTGGGCAGGCTGTGGGCGTGAAGCTGTGGGTGTGCCTTGTCTTGCAGGTGAGTGGGCACGGCTGGGGCAGGCAGCGGGAGCGATGGGCACACACAGAACCCGGATGAGGGCCCCCAGTGGAGTGAAGTGCCACACGTGGCCTCTCAAGCCCCTCATGTGACTGGTCTGGTGTCGGAGCCTGTCCTCAGTCACCACGTTGACCCCAGGCAGCCACCGCAAGGACCACAGACTGGAGTCTGCGCTTGGCGGTTTCTTGGCTGCGAGGGAGGACCTGTGCTCCCAGCTGCCGCTGGGGTGCTGGTGACGGCCGGGTCTTCAGAAACAGCGCCTGGACCTCTCCCCACATTCGTGGCCTTCTTCCTGCCAGCGCGAATGAGTCCTTGGTTCTTCCACAGGGCTGCACGCGCGCTGGGCGAGGGCCTACCCTGTGACCTCACCGCCTTGGTTACCTCTGTGAAGACCCTGTCTCCAAGCGGCCACGTCCTGACTCCTGGAGGGGGCCGCACTTGTCTCGTCTGTTCTGTGCTGTCGTAGGGCTCCACGGCCCGGCAAGTCCAAGAGCCGGTGCCGGCGTCCGGCGAGGTCTCCGTGCCGTGTCCCCCCCGTGGTGGAAGGCAATGGGCCAGGGCGTGTGCAAGAACAGGGGCTGGGCCCGCTTTCATAGCAGGCCCGTGCTGGTGACGTAATCTACCCGGGAGGCAGAGCCCTGGGCACCCTGCTGGTTCTTTCAGCACTGGGGCCGTGGGGTCGTTTCCAACAGCGAATGTGGAGACACGTCTCACTGCATCGGGACCCTCTGTGACTTCCGGGAGGAGGGTGTGCCTCACCGTAACTGCCACGGTGTTGGGTGATGGGAGAGACCCTCAGATTCTGTGTGCTCTCCAGGAGGCCGGCCTCTGGGTTCTTCCGCCTGCCCTCACGTGCATGCGCCCAGGGCGATCTGTTCGCTAGGTTGCAGGGCCAGACCTGCACCCTAGTGGTCAAGGGAGCCCGATTCCACGTGACTGACTGTGGTTAGAATCCTGGCACTAGCAGCTTGAAAAACGCGTCCCCCAAATCTTGCCACAGTGGACAGGTGGGGGAGAAGGGCTCGGTGGAGCCACACCTGTTGGGGTGTTTCTTCTTGTTGGTCTCTAGCAGTGGCGTGCGCCCTCTGCCAACACGGAGTGTCAGGGTATCTTGGCTGTTGGATGCGACTGGGTACTTGGTCCTCATGCAGTCCTTGGCCTGAAATAAGTTAGCCCAGTCGGTGCAGGGCAGTCATGCTTGGATCTGTGTCAGCGTGAGCAGCTTAATGTGGACCTTGTGCTCTTCCGCGGCGTCTGGTGAGTCCGCCTGGACAGCGGTAGCCCGGTGCCCAGTCTCAGGCTGACGAGGGTTTACTACCCCAGTGGAGGTCTGCCTTCTGCTATTCGTCATCTTTGTGACACCCCCTGGTGGCTGCTTGGTGTCCCAGCACAGCGTGGGCCCAGTCCTGTCTGGGTGCCTGCATGTGCGGCCTGGGGGCAGGGCAGCTCCTTGGGCTGGACGGGAGCTGGTGCACGGCTGTGCGTTTGCGCCCCTGCCTCGGCGTGCTGGCAGCTCCCGTGTGGCAGAGGCTGAAAAGGCAGAAAGCCGTCATGTTTGGGAAAGAAACGAACGAGTATGGAGGCCGTGTGGTCAGGGGTGTCGGAGACCCACACAGGCGAGCAGGTGCTTTGCTGGCAGTGGCTCTTGAGCTCAGGATGGTGGGCGCAGGGTCGCAGTCAGTCAGTGGCGATCTGCCCGTTGGTGCTGCGTGGCCAGAGCATTAGAAACACGCCTTTAGCTAGAGCCTCCCAGAGCGAGCGTGGCGTAGAGGCGACGAGACGTGTGCGACCCTCCCACCAAGTGGAGAGGGGAAGAATGCCATTGTTGCGGGTGGCTCAGGAACTCAGGATCGTTACTGTCACGGTGCGTAGTGGCAGCAGGATTTTCACAGACGGCAACAGTCACCACCGGGACAGGTGGAATGCACTCCCGCGTTAGTGCAGTGCGGTCGATTCCCGTGTGTTAGGACTGCCAGGTTTTGGACAAAGGCACCAGAGCAGTTCCAGGGACAAAGGGAAGTTGCTGGTGGCGCAGGGGGTATCCATGAGCCCATGTCCACCTTCACACGCAGTTTGAACTTGAACTAGAGGTGGGTATGGAAGCCAAAACAGGAACTCCTAGAAAACACTGGGGCAGGTCCTCATGGCAGGAGTGGGCGAGGGCCCCGAGGAGGGGAAGGCGCAGAGCGGGAAGGCGAATCGATGGCGTGGACTCTGAAGGTCCAGATCTTTGCTCCCAAGATGACCTCTGGGAGCTGCTTGGTGCCTGCTCCAACCTTAGCCTTCCATGCTCAGCAGTGGGTTGCCCCTGTGCTGTCGTGGAACTGGGTCCTTTTCTTCTTTGCCAAGAGATTGGCTTTAGATTGGGTCATTCTGCACACTCACTGATTCCACAGCGTAGAATTTGGATTTGGTGAAAGACACGGGAAAAAAATATTAGCTTTATTGTTTTTTTTCTTTTTTGCCAGAGAGCATGCGCACTTGTCAGGGAAGAGACAGGGAGAGAGGGAGAATGTATCCCATGGTGGTCGCACCACAACCTCTTCCCTCCCCTTCTCTCCCTGTCCGCATTTTGAGCACGCGTGCACACATGCCCAGTGTAGATTTCAAGCTGCTGAGTATGGGATTCGAACCACGTGTCAGGCACGTGAGATCCAGTCCCCTTGACTACCAGTCCATTGACCAGCACTTAGATTTTTTCTGTCTTGGGACAGATTGTGTAATGGTTATACCACTGAGCTCCTATATAGTCAACTGCGGTTCAAGTCCTGAACCTGGCACTTTAAAACTCATACTATGTGTGAGAGTGTGTGTGTGTGTGTGTGTGTGTGTGTGTGTGTGCACGTGCTCATACATGCTCCAAATCCTGAGAGGAAAATGGAGACGGGATTGTGGCATGGCCATCCCCCCCGAGGGGTGACTTCTCACTTTTTGTTTTTGTCTCTCTGGTGAGCGCACATGCCATATAGCAAAAATTTATCTTAATTTTTTTTCTATATGAAATGCATTGTTTCTGAAAAAGCTTAGGTGATATGTACTTTTACAAATTATTGTTTTGCTGTGTCACTGAAAAAAGTAATACAATGAAATGAAATTCCTCTCGAGGGTGTTAAGAAGCAGAAGGTATTCTTGTGAGAGCAGGATGGCAAGCCGCAGGCTTGCAGATGGATCTGCAGCATTAGTAGCTGGCCCAGGAACAGAGGTGTCTGCAGCTCAGTACGAGAGACCGCGCTAAACAGTGCGAAGGAGCACCTGGGCAAGTTCTTTGCAGAGGATACGGAAATGGCCAGGAAGTGCAGGAAAAGTGCTCCTCGTTCCTGGTCAACAGAGAAACACGTTAAAACCACGGAGAGCTTGGACCACTCGCCATCACAGCTCCAGAACAGAAGACCATGCTGCTGAGTATTGGTGGTGGCATGGGCCCGGAACTTCCATCGGCCCCTGCCGAAATGGTTCTCTGCAGCCTGGGACCAGCGGGAGCCCGGGTTTCTTTCCTGGTCCGACCTCCAGGCTGGGAGTGATGAGGTACACATGTAGTCCCAGCTGGGGGACTGAGGCAGGGGGATCCCAGTAGGACAAGAACCTGTCTTTTCAAAAAGTAAAGAATGTTCATGGTGGCATTATTCGCGGAGTGAAACGGAAATGCCCAAGTGACAGGACCTGTAAGCTGGTGCACATATTTGCTGAACACCACCCAGGAATTACAAGGAACCCACTACTGGCGCACTCAATGATGTCGATGGGTCTCACCACGCCAGCCCGGCTGCAGTGGCACGGGTGGTAGGGTGCTGCATGGCGCACATTTTTTGTGGCCTTTTTGAAGACCCTTCCCTGAGAAACTGGAAGAACCGTGAGAAAGCTGGGAATCCTGCAGCTGCCTGGGTGACAGACTGGAGAGTGAGCCCAGGGGAAGTCCGGGAGGCCCGCTTGCATTGCTGAGGCAGAGCTGAGGGCCCCGGGAGTCGTAAGGCAGGTAGAGTTCGCGAGGAGAGACCTCCAGGGGACTCGTCACCAGGTACATGGGAAAAGACTTCCAAAGGAGAAGAGACTTTCAGAGAACTGGTCACTGTGCATGGGAGGAGGAGACTTGAGGACTGGTCACCATGCGTGCTGGAGGAGACTACTGAGGCTGGTGTTACGGGTTGATT